AATAAATAAATAAATAAATAAATAAATAAATAAATAAATAAAAGTTATGCTCCTGGCTACCTACTTTTTCTAACAAGGCCTGCCTTCTAATTCTACCAAAAATTCTGTTCAAGTTATCAATTGATTAGAGTTAGTTAACTACTCGGGACAGAAACCATCATCTCATGTTGGCTCTAGAAACAGCCTCAGAGAGACTCAGATACGCACTTTACTAACCTCTCCATCCAATTCAGTTAACAGACAAGATTAAATATTACAATCATTCTCAATAAGTTAGTTTCTGCTGAAAATTACCTTTGCATTCTGGCTGCCTTCCAGTCCAACTGCCATTGGATAAACATATTCTTTCTTCTGAGCCATGAAGGATATAACCAGTGTCACAGGCAAAGCGTACAATACTTTTAGTTCTGAATTCACTTTCTTGTCTAGAGCCATGACCAGGAGTACCTGGATCCCCACATGTCCCAGTAGTGTCCCCTGCAATGTAGTAAAGTTCAAGGTAGTTTATTCAGTGCACATATATTAAGGCCATAATTTAGGCCAACAGTCTAGTAGGCATTTGTCTTGTGCATGCTATTTTCATGTAACTTGACCATAGAAAAATGGAGCTCATATTTCCCTTCTGACTCCAATCATAAGAAGGGTAAATGCAAATGAAAAAGAAAATGGCTTCTGAGTATGGTATTATTTTCCTTATCGGTGATATTTTGAGACTTTATTAAATATGTTATAGACATTTCATTATTAATTCCAGAATCTAGTTAATAACCAAGCTATTAGAAAATGTGTAACTGGCAGTACTGTGGACACAAAGGATAAAATTTAATAAATTTATAAAATTAAATAAAAATTGTATTCAATCATTAAAATTTTTCATACTCTGAATTTTCTGATTATTGATAATCTTTCAGCTGTTATTCTATATGCTAGGTACATGTAAATATTCAAACAGAGTTCTGGTAGGCTATAATTTCTCTTCCGATAGCTGTGACCCAAAACAAATCACCTAACTGAATATTTTTCATGTATGAAAACATAACAATAAGTTGAATGATTCAGTTTTCTAACACGGATTTTACTCATGACTAGGTGTTCAACTTTTAATTTTAGTTTTAGAATTTCTGTCCTTTAATGTCCTTTAATACAGAGAGAGAAAAAGTAAAAGTGAGAAAGACAGAAAAACAGAAATACAGAGAGACAGCGAGACAGAAAGCTTTTTCTGGATGTCTCTTTTGACAGTTCTGTATATTTGGAATCTTTCTTTACAGTTTCTGTTTTCCAGTTATGTAATGTTACTTATTACACAAAATTTTAAGACCAATATTACATATTTAAATGTTGCAACAATTTATTATGAAATTCAGTAGTAGGTTTTTAATATATTGTGTGTAGGAGGGGTTATTTCCATGAGTAGTCAACCATCTGAGAGTTAAATTATTATGAGCAACTCCAAGTTAATACTAGTTTTCAAAATAAAATTGGAAATCAGTGTATATTTATATTAATCTATAAATTAAATGGGAAGTTCCAAGCAATCACTGTATAGAGATTAACCAGTATTTATAAGATTTGGAGACTAATAATTTCACCATTTTTACTTCTAAAGTGAAAACAATACTTTTGTATTGATTAGTTAGTTATCTACATAATCTGCACAAAATAAAATAATATAAATAGAGTAGACAGCATGTAAATAAAAATGAATGGCAGTAAAATTAGTGTGACATCTAGTTAAAGGGTAAAAATAAATAGTATCAAACACGGAGTCACTCTTTAAGATTTAAGTATTTCTGTAGAAAAGAAGTTGGGTACACAACCTAGGAAACATTTATCAAATACTCTATCAACAGGTCGTTTATTAAACATAAGTTTACTCTTCATTCACTTAAAGATTGTGGTTGTAAGGACTCAAGTTATATGCTATCAGTAATATCTAGGGTTGATATGCGTAAATGGGTTCCATATGCTTGCTAGGTCATTTCAAAAGAAAACATCTAAGACTTCATGTTTTTTTTAACTATGCCAGTAATTAATCATTTGTTCAGAAAAAAAAAGAGAGAGAGAGATTTAACTCTGATAAAAATCACATATAAAATTGCCCTCTGGGGAAAATCAAATTTGGTATCTAATATACAAAATGTCTCTTTTAGATGAAGAAGTTACACCATTTTTATGAATTAAATCACTTCCCACAGGGTAGTATGTCTAGCACTCATATAATTCTTTACATTAGACACAGCACAGCCCCCAAAATACACCTGTAATTATCATCTCAAGAAGTAGCATTTTGTCTCTCAACTTATATAACCTTACAAATAATCCAATGAATAGCTAAGCAAAGGTTCAAACTAGACTCATCATATTTTCAAAAGAAGTGTAGTATGTCCTTAGATCATTTATGGCTTAATAAATAATAATGATTTGCAAACACACAATCCCATGTACCAGTAGTACCTGAACAATGAGGTTGTGATCCGCTCCAATGTCCATTTAACTGGCAAGTTCTGGATGCCTGTCCTAGAAGAGAACGCTTCCCTGTGCAGGAATAGTGAACAGTAGACCCAAAAGTATACTTCTCTCCAGACAGGACCGCATTAGGAGGAACTCCAGGGTGTCCACAGTCAATCACTACAATACATAATTATTGAATATAAAATTTTTTTATATCTCCTATCGAACAACCTGAATCAAGCTGCTTGTAAAATAACTCAGAACTAAATTTTCTGCTATAACATATCAAAGGATTGTCCAACCTGTGGCTTATAGTCCACATGTGAAGGAGGGCAGCTATGACTATGTACAGACGTAAAATCGTCAACTTAAAACATTGTGATGTTTTATTTATTTACTTATGTATTTATCTATTTTGGTAACACAATTTGCAGTTCTCAACTGTTAATTTTATGGACAACAACATTGTTTCTCAATGTCAAAAGTTTGGACACATCTTTAGAGTCTAAAGCATCTAGTAAACAAACATCTACATAAAACTCAGCTTTTAAAGGAAAATACAGAGTTCACCAGGCATGTTGGTGCATGCCTTTGATCCCAGCACTAGCAGGCAGAGGCAAGCAGATCTCTGGGAGATGGAAGCCAGCCTGTTCTCCATAGCAAGTTCCAGGTCATCTGGGACTACAGGAAAACCCTGACTCAAACAATAAAAGCAACAAAAATACAGTTCCCAGTTATGGCAGTTGTAGTTAACCCATTCATCCTGAGGATGAGTCTAACAAGGACTTGTAAGATAAGTACTTATACACATGTTTGCATGATTAACATGTGTGCATTTAGGTAATGTGCCCATGGATTTGAAATGTGTATGTACCTGGAGAAGGATGTAGAATTTACTTGAAATAGTGAGGTAGACTGACTAAATAAGGATTCATGGAAGCCATGTAAGACTTAAAGAAAGACCAAACAGAAATTAAAGGGGAAGAATTTGGGGACTAGAGAATAGAGAAGATTCCTATGATTCAAAATCTCTGAGTCACATTGGTGAGCATAGCTGCCTTCCAAAATCTGTGTGTCTACAACCATTCCATTCCAGATGTAGTACAAAGCTTCAGAGGTTTCTCATTCACAATGTTGTTGTATATAGCAAAATCAGAAATGAGAAGATGTGGCTGGATTAGTGATTCACTGGTTAAGAGCATTGGTTGCTCTTGCACAGGATCCAGGTTCAATTATCAGCACCAAAACGGCAGCTAACAACTGTCTGTAACTCCAGTTTCAAGGGAATCTGGTGCGCCTTCTCACCTCCACAGATGTTGCAGGCACTGGTACACTTACATACGTGCAGGCAATATACTCATACTGTAGCCTGGAAATTACTCATTCCTATGAAAAGTGTGGGCTATCAGCAAGCATGAGGCATCCTGGGAAGAGGGTTGGAGCCCAGCCTCTGGGAGATGGAGAGTTAGCACATTGACGAGATTGGAACAGAAAAGGAAACGTGTGTGGCCACTGGGGCAAAGGACTCACACACTGTGGGGTGAGATACACAGGGCTGCAGGCGAAAGCTAAGAGACTGTGGGCAGGGCTTGAATGGAGCAGAGTTAAGAGAAGCCGATTTCTTTGTAAATCATCCCTTCCCAAATGTAGAAACTATTCAAAATTCAGATAAAAAAATGTGTTATGCTGGTTTGTTTAACCCTGTCAGGCCCACAAGACCCAGAGTGAGTGAGGGCAGGTCAAACAGAGAGGGTAAGGGAAAAATATAGTGCAACACATACATATAAAAAATATTTTTTTAAAAAAAGAAATGAGATTGTAGAAGCTTGGGAATTATGTGTGCTCACTATTAATCAGGCTCAGAAAAAGATACAGTGCTATATGTTTCTAGAGTATCAAACAGCACATAAAGGAGACATTGTCTTCAAAGAGTTTTTTGACTATCAAAAACTAGCATAGTGTGGTGTAATATATAAAAATGAGAAAGCAAAATCTGAGTTTAAAAACAGCAACTGATTGTAGAAGCTTGGGAATTATGTGTGCTCACTGTTAATCAGGCTCAGAAAAAGATACAGTGCTATATGTTTCTAGAGTATCAAACAGCACATAAAGGAGACATTGTCTTCAAAGAGTTTTTTGACTATCAAAAACTAGCATAGTGTGGTGTAATATATAAAAATGAGAAAGCAAAATCTGAGTTTAAAAACAGCAACTAAAGAACGTAAGGTTTAGATGTTCTACAAAGAGATACTTTTAACACTACTGTAGTTACAAAGATTATGTAATTATTTAAATAATCAGGTTAGTCTACCAAAAGAAGTAAATAATTTTTGTTTCACAGACCAAATTACTGAATTATTTTCATAGACATTGAAATTTTGTTAACACATTGAAAAATTTGTTTCTTCATTAGTACATGAGTGTTGTTACAAATTTTAATCCTTAAAAGAGTTTACGGTTAGCTTTTCAGAGGGGAGAATGTTAGAGTAGCCAAAAGCCCCATAAAAATAAATAAATGAAAGCAGAACAAAAAGAAAAGAAAAAGAAAAAAGTGATGGGGACATATGGGAGTTGTTGGAGGGTAGGGAGTGGGCATGGATTTCATCACAACACCTCATATTCATGTATAAAATTCTCAATAAAGTATTTGTAAAAGTTTTTTAAAAACTTCAAAAATGTAAATGAAATTCTTCAAAATAAACATTAACTATAAAACAGCTTTATTATTTAGTATAACCAGTAGTTGCTGGAGCAATGATTTCTTGGCACATTAATCCAACAGTCCATGAAGTGTGGTAGAACGGAAGACATCTAGACAAGGAACTTATAGAACATGTGGCTGTGTAGTTTGAACCAATTAAGTCAATATAATTCCTTTTGTGATATAGCTTTAGCTATTAGATGACAATAAACATCCGTGTTTACATAACATTTTCTTTTTTAAAAAATTTATTTATTTATTTATTTATTTATTTATTTATTTATTTATTTATGTGTGTGTGTGTGTGTGTGTGTGTGTGTGTTTCCGTCCTTTTCTGGATCCCCTGGAGCTGGAGTTATAGGAGTTGTGATCTGCTATCTGAGTGCTGAGAACCAAACTCCTATTCTCTGGAAGAGCACCAAGTTTTCTAATCACTGAACTATTTCTGCAGCCTCTACATGACATTTTCTAAAGGAACAATTCACATTATCTACTTACTGATACATTCTGGCAAAGGTTTGTCCCATTGGCCATTTGGCTGACATATCAAAACTGAAGAGCCAAATAAAAAATATCCTGGATTACAGTCATAGAACACCACAGTGCCATAGGTGAAATTTCCATGCTCAATTTTGCTTTCTCTTTTGGAATTGGCTGGAATTCCAGGATCAGAACAGTTTACCACTAAATAAATAAAAAAATAAAATGGTTCTTTTAGAAAAATATAAATATACCCACATGTATTTCTATTAAAAAGTTTAAAAACATAGTGCCAGATATTATTATAATCCAATAAATATTCCAGAAATCAAGTTAATCCATGAATTAGTGAGATTATAGGTAGAAATATATGTAGTTGAAACTTTAGAAAACAAGTTTTGGCAATTTTTTTGAATAATAGCCACTACACAAGAACTGTGCTGAGTATGGATAAAGAATGATACCACTTCAGATATTTTTGTTGACCACAGGGGGAGGGAAATTTAGGAAAACCAACATTTTTAACAAAAATGAAACATAAAATTTCTTTGAAAAATTAAGAACTCACTAGAATACCAAAAAGTGCATTCATTTTTATTTTTTATTTTTTGTTTTGTTTTGAGACAAGGTCTTCCCATAGCCCTAGCATGTCTGGAACTCACTATGTAGGCCAGACTGGCCTTGGTCTCGCAGAGATTCTCTTGCCTCTGCCTCCTGAGTGCTGGAATTAAAGACATGAACCACCACACCCAGCTATAGTCCATTATTTTTGGATCCAAATGCAATTTAAACTGATCTTATGTTCCTTCTGTAAGCAGTCTCAATAGGTGCAACCCAATAATGTTAAACAGAAAAACGGTCTCACAATTTGCTTTTAAAAACTCAACAATTAAAATAAAATGGAGGCATCACTCCTGAAATGACATCAGTACTGAAAAATGTTTTGTTTAATATATGTCTATACCCATAAAACAACACATACACACATTTTTTCAGTTTATTAAGCACTTTCCTGTGTTCTGCACATGCTCTTTCACATTCACCACATGTGCCTTCACAGACACACTGCTGCAATGCCAAGTAGAATATGGTGAGCTAGTTACCTTTGCACACAGGTGGAGGGTGACTCCACTGCCTGTTGGCCTGACACTGTGCCTTTGTGGGCCCTTGCATAAGATACCCAACATTGCAAGAGAATGTTACCACATCATTAAAGTTGAACCCGTTTCCACTTGTTCTTCCATAAATTGGACTACCAGGGTGACCACAGCTAACAGCTAAATCATTGGCGGGAGGAGGAAAAATAAAGAACATTTAGTTATCAATTATCTCAGGACAATTATCCTTAATCATTTCAAACAAAGTGGAAAGATCACTTTATATGTTAATACATACAAAGTACTTTTACTAATTAAAAGAAACAGAATTCAGTGGAATAATTTATTAGCAAACTGAAAAACAATAGAAAATACAGAATTTTTTAAAACCATATTTTTAGAAAGTACTTTATGTGTGCATGTGTGTTTGAGAGAGAGAGCGGCATATGTGTATGTGTATGTGCTACATGCACACATATGTGTGTGGGTATATGACTGGAGAACAAACAAGAGTGCTGGGTGGCTTCCTCTAACTCTTTCTGACTTATTCCTTAAAGGCAAGTTTTAGCCCATAACCTGGTGTTTGTGTTTTGTCGATGAGGCTGGTGATCAGTTTGCCACAGCAATCTTCCTGTCTCCCTGCTCCAAACACTACAATTACAAACACAATCGAAAGCACACCTGATTTGATACATGGGTGCTGGGCTCTGAACTCAGACCTTGACCATTGTGCAACAAGCACTCTTAACACTGAGCCATTTTGCCAGCCCTCAAATTACCATAATTTAATAAAGTGGTTTCACATACCTTCTTCTATTTACTTTTTTGCTGCAATTATTGTTCTTTTGTTTGTTAATAATAGTGATAATCAAAAAATTGTAGGAATGAGCTGTGTGTGGTGGCACATGCCTTTAATCCCAGCACTGAGGATGCAGAGACAAGTGGGGCTCTGTTAGATAGATACCAGCCTGGTCTACATAGTGATTTTGGGGCCAGCTGGGGCTAATGGGAGACCCTGTCCCCAAAATGAAACAAACAAACAAAAATTCTAGGGAATGACTGGAGTTTCAAGCTCTAGGTACGAGCAGCAAGGAAAAATATTGAAGCAATTTTCATTTTCTACTTATTTTTAAGGACTGAGGCACTTGAAGCATTTTAACATTTAAATTTATAATATTTTAATATAATGAAATATTTATTTTTATATTATTTAGACAAAATTTTTATGAAGAAAATCTCGATTGGTAAAAGTGTTCTGGTCTTCATAGGATAAGATACTGTAGACAGTAGGAAATGCCCAGTGGTGCTGCTGGAGATATCTCAGTTATATTTTGAGAAAACGATATTAGCATCCCCTAAACCAACCAATCTTCCTTGGTTATTTTTGATAATTTACCACAATTTTATTTGGAAATTTTTTCCTTAGGAAAATTATTTAGAACATTTTAATGTTATGGTTCTAGTATGAATTTTATGTAGTGCTAGATTTCCCTGAACACTGTACCTCTATGAACTGTTTTATTGGGACACCCCCCTCTGTTAATCAGCACAACTCCAGTAGCACTTTATATTAGGTACATTAAAGGACCACAGTCACTTTTAGCACCTTGTAAATGACTCAGGAGCAACTATTTTTCAGCTGTATTGTTAATGTCAACCTACTAATTTGGAAATTTAACTGTATCTTATTCTTGTCAATAAAAAAACAGTTTTCCCCTGAGGGCCAATTCTCATTTATAGTCTCAATTATTCTACCAGATAAACAGTTTCATTACTTGGCCATGCTTGATTTTAGGTGAAAAATTAAAAAAAAA